TGTGTTTTGCTCGCTTCAGAGTACAACATGTCTGGAATCGCTCTCGAAACCAAACCAAGAGTCATTGGTTTTAGTGTTACTGTTAGGTGGTCGCAGGCTACGACATGTGGGTTCCTGGGCCGAAGCCCTACCTCAATATCACCATTCGTAATTAAAAGTCCATGACGTAGATAGCATAGTACAGTTACATAACAATTTGTAGATGAATGAAAAGCAATTGAAGAAGAGCATTTTTGAAGAGCACTGTACATAGTATTTCAAGTGAAAAATTTGTGTGGATATGCTAAGCAGTCCATAATGGTGATGAAGCAACGGAGTAAGTCAGCAATGATCGCAGGGTCGAAAGTGATAGCATAAGCCCAGTGGATGATTCGAGAGTCAGTGTATCCTAGCATACAATCATTTTTTAAGCAACCTTTCACTCACAGTGGACTTGGATAGTCTGTACCTGAAAAGAAATTCCTTACAATCTGGATTGACGTCAGTTGTCTATACATCTTTCAGAAGTCATTGCCAAATAACTGTGCTGAGAGTCTATTATGATAGTATTTAATCTTGACCTCGTTGTCTGCAGACATCATCAGTGTTTCAGTTTTCTGAATGACACTTTTGTCTACCTTTAGGTCTTTACAGACCTTTACCGGTGTCTGTTCTGCTTCCATTGCCGCAGTCGCACACCATTTCTCACAGTTCATCATGTCCTAAACTCTGCATGTTTCTGGGTAGCAATGATGAATCCCACTGGAATACGTAATAATATTGCCTTGAATACCAACAGACTGAGTTTCATTGGATTTCACTTAATTAACATAAAGTATCTTTTTATGGTTGTTGTTTAAATTTTCTCACCAATGGATATAATTCTAAAAACCATTTTTTATTTTCTAATGCAATTTTCTAAAATCATACAACTCAAAAAAAAGGAGGGGGAAGAAAAGAAAAATTACTTAGAAACGTTTTTTAGTGAAATCTTTCTAAAATTTCGCACTTTTCAATAGGATATATTTCCTTAGTTAGCATTTATTATTCATGCAACTTCATGAGGAATGCCATTCGCAAAATGTAGCATTTTCCTTTCCTGCGCAAGAACAAATATTAGACATAAGATATTTAATTCATTTTTCAAAGTGTAACTGCAATGTATAAGCGATTTGAAAGTAATAAACGAAATTTAGTAATTTACATTAGAAATGCAGTATTTGAATCTTCGAAGTCACATGAATCTTAATAAAGATTCAATATTCGAAAGTTCGAATCTTTTGCAATGGTGCTTCATAATTTTTCGAATATTAAATTAAACACCAGTTAAACATTTTAACTGAAACTTCTAACAATTAGTTTTGTTGATGCCAGTATAAGCATTCATTCAGTAAATTTTAATTTACATGGATCACATATATCATATCGCGGGAACACTGAGTGTCATACTTGAAAATTTCTAGACAGAATTTAGCGCTCCGTGCTTTTCCATGCTTTATATTTATCTATATTAGCATCTGAAATACAGGTCCACTTAGCTTTGATTTTAAAAAATTGTAAAAGATTGAACTCTCTTTCAAGGAAGCTTTATAGAGCTCAGAATTAAGGAGCAATTCTTTAACTAAATTTCCTTTTTGCAGTCTAAATAAATTAAAATGTTTTAAAATTATGCATCAAATTGTTATATATTAAAATTATATACTTCTATTACATGCATTTTTATCTTCAAAATAAATAAAAGTGTGTTTTATATTAAATCATATTATATTAAAATTATATACTTCTGTTATTACATTAATTTTTATCTTCAAAATAAATAAAAGTATGTTTTCAAGAGCACAGCTTTTGCAAGTAATGAAAAACAAGCTTAAAATTAAAGCGATTAAAGCAAACTAATAGTCGGTAAGACCACAAAGTGCTTGTAGTTTCATCAAATTTCGGCGAAAAGGCTGGGTGCATCAGCAGTTTCATGGATTTTCCTATGTGTAATCTGAATACGAGTCAGTTTTTTCTTAAGAAGTCGTACATGATATTATTTCTTTTCTTATAAAGTTAACCCTCGTATGTTTTGCTTTAATTCACTAACAGTGGAAATAACATTCATCCTAAGAAATCTACTAGGTTTCTTCTTTGATTAATCATTATTTCTCTAAAATAGTTTAGTTTTATAACATAAAGCATCATCAACTAGCTATCATGCCTTTCCGCCTACTATCATTCCGATAGACCGCTAGTATCATTTTAAGTCAGTTTTAATCATTCTTCTAAATTTAATGCTTTTTATCAAAAAAGTTCATACGTGTGTATGCACTAAATTTGTAGGATGCTGCTTATATAGAACTCTGTGTCCTCAGACTCTACTAGACTGACAAGTAAATTATCGCTCCAGCCTGAATACAAATAACAAAGTTTTAGAAAGGTTTAAATTAAACTATTTTTTTTTTTTTACTGAACTCTTAAAATTAACATGAGGCACTGCTTGTGCTACAGATCAACTCTGCTACTTGCGGGGATTTAAAATAACATAAAATGAAATTAAACTCAATTAATGGACTCTGAGGCTACACACGAAAAAACTTTGGCAGAGCTGGCGAGAGTAAGTAACTGCAAGACGTTCTAATTCGAAAACATTCCAACCCCCCGGCCTGAATACACAGCAGCTAATTTTTATTCTACAGAAAGAAGAAGTTAAAGTAAAGGTTTAAAATATAATAAATGATTAAATAATATAACTAAAATTTGTCAACCTTGAAATAAATGCATATAACTGAAATAATTTAAAAAACCAAAAAGAATTCCCTAAATTTCTACACATTACGATCATTCAAATAGGAACGAAAAAGAAATAGTTAAGTGTCATGTTGATCATAAAAAATGCTGAACACTTTTAGTGGTTGTCTGCTTAGAAAGGTGATCACCACACGAGGTTTCACTGTAATAAAAAATTTAATTAAGTGCAATATTTAGAGGAGTGGATTTTTAACCCAAAACAGCTATTAGTATGGAAACGCGATTTTGCGTCGAATAATTATAAATGCTTCATTTCACTTTTGTTTTGAGTTTGTTGCCGTTTGGCAAAATGTAAGATATTCTTTCAAATTGAATCTGTCTGTTGTGGATTGTCAAACTAAGCTATCTGAAAGCAACGGATGCAGTTCTTAATATTCGTTTATTACTTTCGAATTGGATTTGTTTAAATATTTAAGAATACATTTAATTCCTTATCTAATTAAAATACACAATATTTTCATAGAATGGCGTTACATATTTTTTATTATTTATTTCATATTTTGTAAAACTTTAATGAACTTTTTTGATTAACGATTTGAAAGAGAGAACTGTCAACATTGTACGGAATGAAATACTTTTATAGCGAGACTGTCTATCGGAAATTCTAAAGATATGCTATTTTTAAAAACTATTTTGTGAATTTGTTGTTGAATTGAATTTTACTATGCCGTAAATGCGAAATTTAGTAAGAAAAAAACATAAAAAAGTTAATAATGAAAGTAAAAAAAAAAAAAAAAAAAAAAAAAAAAAAAAAAAAACTTTGTACGTCATCAGACTAAGAAAACTGAACATTGATATGATGAACGGAGAAAGGACTGGGGAGGGAAATGTACTCCAACACTTACACTGCATCAGGAATCTAAACATTTGCTACTTTTAAAATTTCTGCGATTTTGTTATTGAATTATATATGGCGAAAGTGCGAAAAAAACGGTGTTTAGTTACAAAAACTCTAAAAACACGAAAAAAAAAAAATCTGAAAGTTTTCAGATTTTTAATTACGTTCAAAGGGGCGTTTTTTTAAATATTTTGTCTGATATCTTTATTTGTTAAATATCACGTTCCTCCACATTTAAACCATAAAATTCAGTTCAAGAGAAAGTATCGCAAAATACCTTTAAATTGAGCATATCCTTTAGAATTTCCGATACGCAGTCTCCCGCGCTGGAGATAAAAATGTTTTTTTCTGTACAACGTTGCCATTGCTCGCTTTGAAATCCTTGAAATTGTTATTCAAAAATTCGTTAAAGATTTACAAAATATGAAATCGATAATAAAACAAATTCCAAATTTCAAATTTGGGCTTCCACATGCCCATATTCGCAGTAAGATTACGTCATTCAAAATTCGATGGCTCTGTGTACCGTTGTTTTATCACAATGCAAGAAATATACATAGATTTATGCAGATTTTTCATTATTTAATTTCTTCAAATATAATGCAAGACTCTAACATTTGGTGGCAACAGTTTGAAAAGTGAAACGGACATTTATAGTGAACCAACGCAAAATCGCAAAACGAAAACAATAGTCCTTCAGGGTCAAAGCCCTTTTAAACTAAAAAAGAAAAGCAAAAAGAAAATTGGGGGTATCAGCAGGAGTAAGCTTAGAAGAGACCCGTTTAACACTGAGCAGGCGTAAGTGCAATAACAGATTGGTAGACTGCGAGCTCAGCAAGGTAAAAACCATAACAAACCCTTTTGAGCGGCCGTTAAAATCTTAAACTTTCAGATTTTTTCCCCCTTCATTATTTTCGCATCTGTTGCCGTGTTGTAAAAAAAAAAAAAAAAGAAAAAGAAAAAAAAGAAAAGAAAGAAGTCTTTTTGTGTGTGTCTAATGATATTTTAACGATCCTTCAAATGCGGAACCAAAAGTATCATTTGATTTCCGTAATGATACTTCATAATTCGGTCAGCACTCTTGAAATTTTCATGCATACTTGATATACTATTAGGTATAAAATAGGTTAACGTTTACCTGATGAACTTCAATGGTGATGCCACCGCGTACGGATAAAACCGAATCTTTAATAAAACAGAAAAAATTATGTTTTATTGTAGCCATTTGATAAAAGCCGAATCTTCGATATAAAAATAGAAGGAAAAAAAAACTCAGTTGGTTCTTTAAACGAGTTAGAAATGAAAAATGAATTTTAGAGCAGAAAGTCTAGCTTTTTAAAAAGCTTTTCAAAGAGACAACTGAATTGAAGTCTGGTTTTTCTTTTCTTTGCAGACATTACGTTCCAAGAAGCCATCAGGTGATCGTGAAAGGAGGTGAAATTATGACTGAAAATGGACACTTCGAACTTCTGAGGAAGCTGTGATCGTCACGGTTTTTGGCTCCTTCCCCACTCTCTCTCTCCTCCCCTTTCGAAACTTTCGCAGGAACTGCGAGGCATCAAGATTTCTTTTTTTAATTCCCATTCCTGCCATCGAATGCTCATTTTATCCTTTGTATACATTCAAAGCATTAATAAAATCGCCGATAATCGTTTTGGACAGCAGTTTCTTTTTAGTTGTCTTTGTCTGAACAATTTCCGAAGTTAATTTTTTTAAACTTTATATCTACATACTGGCCACTTGCGCAGCCATCCTTCGGCCTGTCATGCATTTCGACTTGGAGTTACGTATATCAGACCAAAGGTCTTGTAAATAGCTAAATAACACACATTTCTATTAAAAATTTAATTGCAAAACCATACATGTCTATAACTATTGAAGTTCAGCTCTAATTTGTTTTTTAATATAGAAATCTAAATTTTTGTTTATAATTTACAAGTTATCATCTCAAAGAACGATTTGTTAATATAAAAGCGCAAAAAATCATAAAAGTCTCTAAAAGAAGGATTATGTATCATTAGAATTTCTTTTTTAAATTACAAAACAAAACCCCTCAAATGTTCATAAAAATTAATAATTAAATTCAAAATTATTAATGATATATCATGAATTAAATTCATTTTTACTTAATATATTTTTACATTAGTTACGTTATTAAAAAAGTAAAAAAATATCACGTTAAGAACTGTCTTTTAAATCGGTTAATTTGCTAATCAATAACAAACAGATTAAATTTAAAACATAAATTAAATATTTTACCTATTGCCAAATGATAACACACTGGCGGACGGAAGATAAAAGTATTTGATTTCGGATAGTAGTAACAATATGCTTTTAAATCGCTGAATTTGTTGATTAAATCGGAAAGATCTTACTCTTTGTTGAATGGTAAGACTAAGTATTTGATTTCGGGCAGAGTAAAAAATTACATTCAAAATTGCTCAGCTTGTTTATCAAGAATTCATTAAGTTCGCACAAAATTTAAAATAAAAAATAAATTCAAAAATCGGGCTTCGAAATATTCCTGTTTGATTGAAGGACTACGTCAAGGATGTCAAACTCGCGGGCCGCATGCGGCCCACAACAAATATTTTTGCGGCTCGGCCAATATATCGGCAAATAATAATATATAATAATAAAATAACATATCGACGAAGAAAAAAAATTAAATGTTTACTGCTAAGTAATTAATGATAATTTATTCAGTGTTGTTAGATTACTCACAGCGAGCTGACACACACACTACTTAAATTACAAATGCGTGTGAGTAGCTTGAGTTCAGCTACCTTCGGCTTTTGGGGGACACATGCACTCAGAACTTGTACGCATCCCCCGATAGCCGAATGTGGCCGAACTCATGGTCTCAGTTTTCCAATCATAGTTTTGTACGATATATTGGTGCATGCATGTGCATGCACTTTGCTTTATTATTAATTATTACTTAATTCATATTGTTACGGATTTCATAGTTATTTATTTATTTAGTTTTTTTTTTTATTTAGAATTGTAATTAGATTTGCTTCATGTTGCCTTAGCAACGCAGACGATTTTTGAAAAGACAGCTGCGTTGGAAGGTTAAAAATACACTGACTACCAATAAGTATTTGGACATCTGTGGTAGAAAAGAAAAACTAACTTTATTCAAAATCAACAGTTGGTAGAGCCTCCACGAGAGGTAATTACAGCGTGGACTCTCCGGGGCATACTTTCCACAAGTCTTTGTATGACAGTTAGTGGTATTTTCTTCCACTCGGCTTGGAGAAGACATATAAGTTCATTTACCGATTTTGCACGGGTAGTGCACCCCTGAATTCGGCGATGCAACTCATCCCAGAACTTCTCGATAGGGTTCAGGTCTGGACTCTCGGCAGGCCAGTCCATTCGATGAACTCCATTGGCTCCATACCAAGCCTTGGTTAACGTCGAAACATGACAACCGGCATTGTCGTTCTGAAAGTAACAGGGGTAAAACCCGTAAAACTGCCACAACGTAGGAAGCACATTGTCATCCAAAATAGAGCATTAGGCATCGGAGTTGAGCTTACCATCAATGGGGACCAAGGGTCCCAGCCCATACCAGGAGAAACACCCCCAGACCCCAGCCGAACTTGACTGTTGGCACAATGCATTCTGGCAGGAGACGTTCTCCAGGTAGACCCCAGACCCAGACCCTGCCATCCGAACGGTAAAGGGTGAACCTTGATTCGTCACTCCAAAGAACCCGTTTCCACTGATCTCTACGGTCCAATTTCGATGTGCACCACATTAACCTAGCAGCGCAGTTGGACTTTGTGATCGAAGGTTTATGGGCAGCAACACGACCATGAAAACCAAGCAGATGTGCTTCCTTACGGATGGTATTCATTGAAACAATACTCCCGGATGCCTGTTGAAGTTCCTCGCGGATGAGGGCCATCGGTTGGGTGCGGTTCTTCCGAATTTCTCTGGACAGCACTCGTCGGTCTCTATTTCCCAGTTTCGTTGGTCTGCCGACTCGGGGCACATTCCGACAATCACCGCTCACCTTCCACTTCTTAATCACATAGGCCACTGTCGATTTTGGGTACTTCAAATCGCTAGATATGTCCCTTAAGGATCGGCCACATTTGTGATACCCGATAATTATACCTTTCTCGAAATCTGAGAGCTCTGAACTGCGAGGCATCTTGCATGCGACTAAAGCCGATGCTGTTTCCTACACGACATATATCGGCGGAGACCGTGACGTACCTTAGGACCACAGATATCGTCATTTGCATAGGTGTCCAAATACTTATTGGTAGTCAGTGTAGAACAGCGCGTGCATTTAATACCTAATAAATAAATATCTCGTAATTGCTGTTGTCATCCACAAAAATACAGATATTTATAGATGTTTCCAGTATATTCGAGAAATTAATTATAAAGCTTATAAAAGCCGAGAACAAACAACTCATCTCAGTAGTAGCTGTAGTTCTAGCGAACTGTTTGTTTACTTAAGGCTGTGATTGATTTGTAGCGATTTCGCTGTGAGATAGAATTAGTTTCTCTGTTTTGAATTGATTTTTGCTAAACGTTTGACATTTTGTGATATTGTTAGAATATTTTTGAAGAAATATTTCAGCATTTTGATTTATATCTTGTGGAAAGAATACATTTTTGTTAACTTTTTAACGTTAACCGTGTTTATTCCAGCCCTTTGTATTCAGTATGTCTATATCAAAATCAAGTGGTAATAAAATTAAACGAAAAATTGCTGACGAACATAGAATATTCAAGTAAAATGGGAATTAGAATATTTTTGCTGTGAAATAAAAGATAAAATAATCTGCTTGATATGTAATAATACTATTAATGTATCAAAGTTATATAATATTAAACGTCATTACGAACAACACAAATCGAAATATAACAATTACGAAGGATTAATGAGAGAAGAAAAGTTGAAAGAGCTCAAGTTAAGAGTGAAAAAGCAACAGTCCATGTTTAGTAAAGTATTGCAAGAAAGTGAAGCGGCGGTACATGCAAGCTACGTCTTGTCCGAGTTGATAGCTAAACATTCGAAGCCTTTTACTGACGGTGATTTCATCAAGGAATGCCTAATGAAAGCTGGAGAAACTGTTTGTCCTGGAAATGTGAAGGCTTTTCAATCAATTTCATTGTCTCGAAATACAGTTGCGGAAAGAGTTACTGAAATAGCCGCGAATTTAAATGATCAGATCAAAGCAAAATCATCTAGTTTCGAAAGTTTATCCATTGCCTGTGACGAGAGCACGGACATTAGTCGCAAAGCTCAACTAGCAGTGTTCCTTCGTTCTTGTGACAAGAATTTTAACATTTTTGAGGAATTACTGGAACTAATACCGATGCCTGGTACTACCACAGGAGAAGATATATTTACTTGTGTTTTTGGACTTCTGCAGAAATACAATCTACCTTTGGCAAAATTAAATTCTGTAGCTACAGATGGCGCTCCATCAATGACCGGGAAAAACAAGGGCTTCGTAGCATTACTAAGAAAAAAACTTAGTGAAATTCACGGTTCAAACATTCATCATATGCATTGTATTATACATCAAAAAGTTCTATGCGAACGAAAGTAATAAATATGGAGAATGTTTTGTCGTATATAAAAAAAGTTATAAATTTTATAAGATCTCGAGGTTTAAATCAGCGTCAATTCACTGCTTTCTTAAGTGAGTTAGATAGTGAATATTCGGGTTTGTCCTACTATACCGAGGTACGTTGGTTATCTTGCTCCAAGATTCTCAAACAATTCTGGGATTTGAAAGAAGAAATATGTCAGTTTTTAAAAGCGAAAATTCAAATTCAAACAAACTTGAACAAGAAAATTCAAGTTTGTTTTACGATCCAATATGGATGCAAGATTTATCTTTCTTGGTTGATATAACCAAACATTTAACTGATTTAAATTTATCGTTACAAGGAAAAGATTATATCATTACGAACATGTTTGACATAATTAAGGCATTCAAATGTCAACTAGCTCTTTGGGAAAAACAACTTAAAAATGAAGATTTGACGCACTTCCCGACGTGCAGCATGAACAAATCAAGTTTAGATGATATTTGTTCGTATCAAAAATACGCAGAAAAAATTGCAAATTTAACAACTGAATTTAAAACGAGGTTTAATGATTTTAGTTCCCTCGAAGACAAATTTTTTTTTTGTTGTTTCCTTCGATTTTCTCAATAAGTATTGACTCAGTACCCAGCCATATGCAAATGGAGATGATCGAGATTCAATGCAACTCAAATTTGAAAGCAAAATTCATTGAAGTGGGCGTGCCTGAATTTTACAAATATTTACCAGTCAGGTTTGAAAATACTCGAAAATTCGCATATGAAATTATTTCCATGTTTGGTAGCACTTATCGGTGCGAGCAGTTATTTTCAGTCATGAAAGGTAATAAGTCTCCTATTAGAAACCGTATTGATAATGCTCACCTTGGGTCAGCGTTGAAAGTTATTACTGCAAACAAAATTTTCCCGAAATAGGAAAGATAATAGCAGAGAAGAGATGTCAAGTATCAGGACGTAAACATTAAATTTTTGTTGTTCTTTTCTATATAAATATATATATATATATATATGTTTATTATTGTATTATTCGAAATAAATCTACGTTTCTATGAATATTGATCTTTTTTTGCGGCCCGCTTAAG